CGGGCGCCGGGCAGGCAGGGAGGGCGGGCCGCGGGAGGGGGTGGGCAGTTCCTCGCGGCTCCCAGATCCTATATAAACAAACCTGGGCGGAGGCGAAGGAGGCGGCGCGGACGCCGCGGGAGGAAGACTTCGCGCGCTCAGCCTGCGCGGACACGCGGATACTCTGTCCAGGCCTTTTCCCCGGCAACTTGGGACCGGCTGAGCTAGCACCTCCCCCGCTCGTCTTACCCCACAGGCGCCAGGCCAGAGATTCCCGAGGAAAAGTCAGCGGCTGCTCGCGGGTTTGCCCCGGATTCCTCCATGGTGCCTGCGGGAGCGCGGCGAGCGGGCCGGCGGCCGCGGGGAGGCGGAGGCGGACGTGGGCAGGTCCCGCCGAGAGGGGTTCCCCGCGCCGTGGGCTCCTCCGCTCAGGCCAGGTACGTGCGGGGAGAGGAGGAGGAAGAGGGTGCCGAGTGGAGGCAGGGGCGAAGCTCGGGGCGCTCGGGCGGCAGCTTCTGAAGTGGCGCCGAAAGACCCGCGCGGCTGGACTTGGGTCTGCAAACACCAGGGGCCCGCTTAAGATTTGGCGGCGGCGCCCTGCTCCTCCCCCCGCCCTGCTCATCAGCACCCCGCGCTCCTTATTGAAAGGGCCACCTGTCCCTCTGACCCCCCCTTCCTCAAATGATACCCGGAAAATGTGGGGATCTAGGTAAGCCGGGCAGAAGGGCCGCCTCCGGCTCCCTCACGTGAAGGTGCCCCAGCGCCCCCGAGCGCACACGCACGAACCTGTGGCCGCCTCTCCTGGAGACCCGCGGGCCTGGCGCGCGCTGGGGCTTCTCGGGGGCGGGAGCTCGTGACTCCCGAAGGAACCGGGACTTAGATGAGGCGACAGACGCATGCAGCGCCCGCTGTGTCAGCCTGTCTAGAACTGGAAAGAAACCACACGGTCATCTCTTTGTCACAGCCTAGATGGGATGCCCACAGGCCGGGGAGCGAGGAGGCGGTGGGATCCAGAGCGGTAGGGTACCCTTCCTCCTCCCGCTCCCGTTGTCTCTCCCCCCTCCCGGTCTCCTCCCCCTCCCTCTGCCTCCCACTTCTTTTCTCTCTGCCCTGTCTCACTTAAGAAAGACCGAGATCTCAGTGAGTTATGCCTTCAACTTCTCATGTTACAATTTTTAAATGTATTTGAACAATATGTATTGACGGTATGACTGCAGGAATAAAGCTTTGTGCCGAAATACCTGGTTTTGTGAATCACTTGCATTTCAAAATAGTATACAAACACATTCCATGAATGTTTTTGAAGATGTCCTTTGGGTAAAGACCAATTACCTTTCAGTTTTACAGGTGCCACCTCAGAAGCAAGGGACAGAATTCCTCACCACCACACACACGCACACACACAGCCTTTTGTACTCTGCATTATTTTCTAACCCCCTTTTTCTGTCTTAGTAAGTGCAGTTCTGAAACAGAAGTATGGATCCTGGGAAGCAACATAGCTGGGAGGGGTTCGCTGGGAGGGCTATCTGGTCCTCAATAAAAGGTTTTTGGAGAATTGTTTAAATATATTAGATATGTTCTCTCTTATAGTGATTAACAATTAAAAAGTAAAAAACTCAAAAGTGCACTTGGAATTAAAATATTAAAAATCCCTCACATTTTAAATAATACCAGTTTCTATAAACCTTTAAAAAAATAAAAAAAAAGTCTTGGTTCACAAAAACATATTAATCCACTCTACTTACTAAATCCAGATGTTGACTTGCACATCGAGTACATGCAGAATACATGGTCAAACTGGCAGGATAAAATTACCCCTGCTTTTACCGTGTATTTTCAGATAATCACTTTTTTCTCTACATGTTAAGTTTATCTATTTATTTGTTTGAGATCATAATTCCCCTTTAATCTAGTCTCCCTTTACAACTCCACATATAAATTTCCAATAGATGTCAATACTTCTAACTAAAACTGACATTTTAGGTTGAGTTTACAAAAAAACAACAACCCTCAATGACAGTTAATTCATTTGTTCAGATAATCCAGATTAAAAGATTACATGCACACACTCTTTAAATGGGTTGTGAAAATGGGCTTAATCAAAATCCTTATATCTTTTAAATTTGTCTTACATCCAGAGATGCCCCTTTTACCCCCATTTGCTGCTCCATTTTGTTATGATTCAATGGGCAACCTCAGGCAATCAGTCCCGTGTGCCTAGCAATGGTTTAATATCTCTATAGGGACACATGGGAAAAAAAATAGAGCCATATCTGTGACCTAGAATAGCTTAAAGCTCAGTTGAAAGTCCAATTTAAAGGCAATTGAAATAAAGTACAAAAGCTTAGCTGTTTGTAGGAACCTTTAATTGAACCAAGCTTAAGCCCTACCTTGAAAGAAATAGAAGAATATTGCTTTATTTATGGTTCTACTCCAGTTTTATGACTTAAAACAACTATTTGACTATCTCATGATTGTGTGGATTTGAATGGGTTCTGCTGGGTGGTTCTACTTCATGTGATATAGGCTGGGGCCTGGGGGTTGATCTGGATGGGCCAAGATGATTCCCTCACATGCTAGCAGTTGGCACTGTCAGCTCTAAGTTCAAGAGGGTCAGTTGCAGCCACTCAGGGCTCCACTACATGGCTCCACCACGTGGCCTGGGCTTCTCACAACATGGCAGTTGAAATCCAGAAGGGAACTTCTCAAAAATCTGTGTTCCAAGAGGGAGAAAAAAAATCTGCCAAATCCTTTTCAAGGCCCATTATTGGTACAACCTCACTTCTGCAATGATCACAAGACAAGCCCCAATTCAAGGGCAGTGGGCAAAGATAAAATTGACATCTCAATGAGAGATTTGAAAATGTGTGGCCGCTTTCAATCCACTACATATTTTCAAAGGCACATAGGTAGAAATTCACAAGGAAGGCTTAACCAGACTAGACAGTGGGTGACAGGGAGTAGAAGGGAAGGTTGTCATAGTTTGGGTTGAGTCAAATTATTGTTACTACAAAGATAGTAAACTGGATTTGTTTCAGTTTAAAAGCAGATTTACTGCTCTGGCTGGGTGGCTCAGTTGGTTGCAGTGTTGTCCCATACACCAAAAGGTTATGGGTTCAATTCCAAGTCAGGGCACATGCCAGGTTGCAGGCGTGATCCCCAGTAGGGAGCATGAAGGAGGCAGCAGATCAGTGATTCTCTCATCACTGATGTTTCTATCTCTCTCTCTCCCTCTCCCTTCCTCTCTCTAAAGTCAATAAGGATATATATTTTTTAAAAATATATTTATTTTAAGGTTACATTAGTGTATTAGCTACATCTTTAAGTGGTATTATTAAAATTTATCAGTAAAACAATAGCCTGCTCTACCTTGAATTAATATAGTGGTGTTTATTTTCACTTAAATATGAGTTTTTTCAAGTTTTTATTAGAAAGCACAGACACTAGAGCATAAAGATGATATGTCTAGAAATAAAAATGTATTCCATTCTTATTTTATCTAATAATGATATCTGGAATATGAATGTTTCCATTGAATAAACTACTAGAATACTTTATTACCCTACCTTTGGCTAAGTTAACTCAGTTTTTTGTCATTTTGTATTTTTTTTGGGGGGGGGGAAGATTCTGAAATAAAAACTGGAGATGAATATACTATATAGTAATTTTAATAAAAGTTAAATTAGGCAATTCATTTTGTGTAATTAAATAGACACATATTACAGAAATTCTCTTCAATGTTTTTCTAGAATTTTAATGTTTATCTCTACAAAATAGGGAAATTAAGAGTCAACTTAAATATTAAAGTGTGATATTATCCAGTCTCTAGCATTGCTGAAATTCTTCACCAAAACCCCCCTGAGTCAATTTCTATAATATGTATGCAAGTGCTGTTGTAGCAGAGGATATGGAGATGAAAATTCTTAGGGAATTTTCAGCACCATAAGGGATTTAAGAGGTGTTTGCAATTAAATACGATGCAAATTAAAAAGTGACAAATGCTAAAAGAATAAGGTTATTTCTTCTTGGCCTAAATATTTTCTAACTAGACAAGATCTTTATGGTGTTTAAATTCTTAGTAATCAAATTTACCCCTAAATAATTTATCTACTAATAGAATATGTCATGATTCTAATTTACTTTCTTTCGCTATATATTTAGTCATTAAACATTTATTTAGTACTTACTATATGCCAGGCATTTATATATGCATTCCTTAAGTATTGTCACTTAATTTTAAAAATAATTATATTACATAGGTTTTATTATCATCTCCACTTAGTAGCTTAGAAAACTAAGGCAAGGAGATAGTAAGCATCTTGCCCAAATAAGTGCCAGTAAGTGCTAAGGCAGAAATTTAAATTAGGCATTTTGCTTCGTCAGATCCCATGCTCTTAGCCACTACATCATCTTTTCCTAAACTCTTACCTTTTCTTCCAGACAAAGATGTAATTTTCCCTTTTTCTCTCCCTCTCACTCACATTTTATTTTTACATTGTGAGAAGATTAAAGGAGCTAAACAAAAGAGCCTAGTTTGGGGGAGATTATAGTCTGGTTTCATAACCTCAAAGCTGCTCTATTCATGTTTTGTTTGGATTTTTTTGAAGTTTAAAAAAGAAGGTTGTGCTGAAGGTAAAATTACGTAATCAACTCTTCCTTTTTACACATTATATAAATGTACCTATAATTTAGTTTATATGATTATAATTTCATATAAATCACACATCAGATTTCTAGCTTAGATTTGACCTTTATCTTCTCATATACAATATTTGCACCTTGCATATTTATAAAAAAAATTTTAACCTATATTATGCCTTTAAAATATTTGTGTGAACAAACAAACCACATCCGTTTATTTCAGTGAAAGTCTACATTATGCTTGGAATGATGAAATCAAGTGGCAATAAATTTATTAAGTTTGAAGGAAGGATTTTTCATAATTGCTCAATATAAAATATCATAAATGAAAATTCTAAAAAGGTGCAATTAAGAAGATAAGTGAAGCCATTGAATATTATATGGCATCTTCCACTTTTTTCTTTTGGAGAAAGGAAAAAGAATGTCATACAGACATTATGTATTAAATATCAAAATGTTGTTTTCTGACAAAAATTTATGGGTATAAAATAAATACATTAAAACGTTTTTAAGTTAATACATCTTGTGATATACTGATATTAATTACAGACATTTACAAATATTTGATGTGACCCAGGCACTGGGGACATATAGTGAACACTGTAGTCAAAAATCTATGCCTTCAGATAATCAACAATAGAATAAGTGTAGAGTCTGATGATTAAAAATTAAGACATAAAGAAAAATAAGGTAGGGAAGAGAAATAAGAAATTCCAAGGGGGTGGGG